CTTTTTTCTTCCTCTCTTTGACTTTTGCTGCAAGAACATTTTCAGTCTTTAGTTATTTTTGGTGATTTTCAGTCATTTTGGATCTTTTTCAATAGATTTTCTTCCAGTTTATTCTCTGGTTTTGATGCCCAGCAGTCGTTCTTATTTTTATTTTTGTCTGCTTTTTTCCTCCTTTCCTCATTTTTTCTGCTTTCTAAAGTTTTTCTCCTCATAGTTTTTGTTGCGATGTTTCGTTTTGTGATTTTATGTCCAGACAGTTTTTCATCTTGTGGATGTTTGCTGCCCCCTGGTGGCCACGTTCTCATGCTTGGATGTTCTTGCTGTTGTTTTCATTTTCAGCTTTTTAGAAAACTCTGGGCTTTCCCAGGTCTTGTCCTTCTTTCCTCTCTGATGGTTCTGCAGAAACTCGTCTGTCGGTTCATTTTCCTGACAGCTGTTGACCTCTAGGCGTTGCCTAGCGACAGAGCAGTGACCTCGGCGTCTCTTTGCGTCCTCAGAGTCTTCCGGCGGCGGCGGAAACCCCGCAGCGCCCTGGTTTCCCTGCTGAGCGGCGTTTCAGAGAGCCAGTCATGGCTGGACCAGAAGGTGTTCGGAGGCATTCTGGGAACCGGACTCAGACAGGACCCGGACCCGGACCTGGACCCGGACCCGGACCTGGACCTGGACCTGGACCTGGACTGGGCCCGGGTCGGCCAGCAGGGGGCGTCTCCGTGTCGATTGGACGAGTCTCTGTGGGCGGGGCTAAACGCCGATCTGGACGATGGACGAAGCTTCACCTATGGTGAGTCTGCAGAATGACCCGGTCCAACGCCGCTATCATGAGCCGCTGAGGTCACAAGACTCTTCTTCCTGGTCCAGATCCCAGCGAAGCCCCGCCTCCTCCAGGCAAAGAAGCCCCGCCTCCTCCTGATGAATTGGCCCCGCCTCCTGGGAAGATGCTGATCCAGGAGGAAATCTGCTCTGAGGTCAGTCAGTCCACGCAGGGCTTCACCCAATCACTGAGCGGCCTCTCCGAAGTCCCGCCCCCTCCGGCCTTCTACAGCTGCTGCCAGGCGGCACCTGAACCTCCAGGTGAGCCGGGACACCTGGGCTGACCTGTGACCCAAACCGTCTGGTTCTGATTCTGAGACGCTCAGGTTCCTGAAACTGTTTCATTTCAGGGCCGACGATGAAGGCTCTCCTCATCCTCATCTTCAGCATCTTCATCATAAGCGTTCTCTACTCAGGGTGAGACGTCGACCCAGTTAAACCAGTTTAACCAGTTAAACCAGTTTAACCAGTTTAACCAGCTAAACCAGTGAAACCAGACAAACAAATAAAACCAGTCAAACCAGTGAGACATGTTTACCCGGTTAAACCAGCCAAACCGGCTAAACCGGTTTACCCAGTTTACCCAGTTTAACCAGTTTGTTTTGTTATTCATGATTCTTTCTTCCTGCAGCTCCTGCTGGTGGAGCGCCATGGTAACGGCCGCCATGTTGGCGACGATCTCAGCCGTGATGTGTGAGTATGACTGGGCTGCTGAGGTTCTGGGTCAGGTTCTGGGGTTCTGGGTCGGGTTCTGGGGTTCTGGGTCGGGTTCTGGGGTTCTGGGTCGGGTTCTGGGGTTCTGGGTCGGGTCCGCTCCACAGAACAGATTCAATGTTTTTTACATCGTTTTCCAAACTCCCATCAAAAATCGATTCAGAAACATAAAATAAATAAATGAAACAGATTTTTACATTAAAAAATTAAATCAAAGTAAAAATAACGATAAACATTAAAAAGTTGAAATAATGTGGATTAAAATGTAAACAAAATAAAATAAACTTTCTAATAATAAGAAAACAAATGAACAGCAAATTAATACAAACATAAAAAGTCAAATGAAATTAAGTAAAAATTAAAATATTATATAAATGTAATAAGAAAAAAATTAACTAAAATGAACAAAATAAAAACATTTTCTAGGAATAATTATTTTATTGTTTAGAATGAGATATTTTTATGATGAGTTCATTTAATTTTCAGAGTAATAATTACATTTTTGGAAAACAAAACAATAATAATAAAACTTACATTTTTTCATTTTCTTTCTTGGATGCAGATTAAAGAAAAAACAAATAAATTGACAGTAAAGTCATGAAATGTTTTGTTTTCATATTCCAGTCGTGACCAAGTCGGGTCCGATGGGCGAGTGGAGGAGAGCCAAGACCGAGGTGAGTCCAGAAACGGTCCGAACGGGTCGCCGATGCGCTGCAGAGAAACCACTGACACTCATCCTCTGTCCCTCAGGACATCACATCCAGGAACGAGTAGGAGCCGGAACCGGACCAGGACTGGACCAGACCCGGACTGGAACTGGACCAGAACCAGGCAGGATTCTGTTCCTGCAATTTTCAATCCCGCTGGACAAAAAGGTGAAACTGGTTCTGAGCTCTGGAGGCTTTTACAGATAACTGGGTTTGAATTCACAGAAAGAAAAATAAATCATGGATGACAGAAGAGAGGAATCAATAATCAATCAATAATCTGATTCAACCAGCAGATAAAGAGTAAAAACTGCTGTTGGATTCAAAAGGAGCTCAGACGCCGTTGGGTTAGCTTAGCATCGCAAAGAGCTGCAAAATCACCAACTGGGAAACAAAGTTTTCATCAAGTTTTTATTTCACACAAAAATCACCTGGAATCCTGCAGAAGATTTAATATTTTATATTTCCAGACGAGGAGCGATGATTATTACGTTTATTTAAAATAGAAAGTAAATAAACCGCAGCTTCAGGGGAGACGCATGAGAGCAATAAGAATAAAAAACATTTTGTTGTCGCAAATTTAAAACCAGAAAACCTTCAAAACCTAAAATCCTGAAATATATATATTAAAAATGTAAATATTGAAAAAGGACCTGCTTTAAATTACATCTAAAGCTGCAGTCAGGTCAAGGCTTTTATTTTGAAAGGATTCCTCTCTGTATGGAGAGCCTGCAGTGCTTTAAATTTAACATCTGAGATAAAAAAAGATAATCTATAAAACTGACCACATGATAAGCTATAAGTGAAAGACATTTTAAAAATAAAAATTAAACATAAATCAATTAAAATACAGTCAAATGATAAAGCTTAAAAATCTGATAAATGAGCAGATTTTCTCCATCAATTCAGCTGTAAATATGATATAATTTAGTGAAAATTCAATTTTGATAAAGGAAACAATTCTAGTAAAATTATGACACATTTAATTATTTTTTGTGAAGTTCCCCTTTTGCACAAGCTTTTATTTTGAAAAGCATTTTTTATATGGAGCTCAATAAGTTTTTAAAATTATTTTTTAGATTTTGTTTTGCATTAATGTATTTTATCCTGTTCAGACAGGTCAATAGGAATAAAAACTTGATGTTGATGAAATGTTTAGATATTAAAAAAGTTAATAAAAGTTTAATTCTTATTATTAACGAGCAGGATGTAATAAATCCTTCATGGCTGCAGAAAAACTAAACCAGTAAAAAAGTGAGGAAAAGGATTTCAGAAGATTTACTTGTCATGAATATTTATTCCCAACTTTTCACTTTGTCACATTTTTTTTATTTTGAAAGGGCCTTGCCTCTGTACGGAGCTCCTGAAGTGCTGATATGTTTTAATCCACGCAAACTAAAATAATGTCACACTTCAGAGGCTCCATGTTGATATTGTTACTGAAAGTAATGTAAAGTGTACTGTAAAACTTCCTGAATATGATCAGAAATCCAGAGCTGAGCTTCGGGTTCAGGTTAAAGCAGAGCCGACATTCTTCCTGCAGGGAAAGGTCAGGAAGGTCGTGATGCCTTCAGGGCTCGCAACATTAAAAATCTTCCCACAGAAATGCTTTTAATCGCTCTGTGGTCCGAAGAAACGTTTTTATCAAAGTGCCAAATTTTTTATCCAGAAACAAAACGATGCTATTTTTGATACAGCGCTCTGCTTTACTGTTCTGGAAGCTTCCTGTTTATTACTGGTGAACATGTTGTCCTTCTACTCTCCTCTGTTTTTATCAGACCAAAACTCTGCTGCCCTCTGCTGGTTGGAACCAGTCAGTGCAGCGTAAGAACGTGTAGTTGTAAAAAATCACATTTGTGATATTTTTTTTACTTTCTAAGCTTTAGATCTGTGAAGCACTTAACCTCCGACTCACTCCTCATGTTCTACTGTTTGTATTTCCACTGAATGTGACGCTGTGCTTGTGATAGCACTTTGTTTTTAGCCGCAGTCTGGCAGCTCAGCAGGAGTTAATTATTAAATGTGAAACAAAAGGAAAATTTGGAGTTTAAATTGATGTGAAGATTTTCTATAAAATGAGATTTTTAGGGATCAATTCACATTTCAGAGGCGTTCTTGGATATTTGACCACTTGGTGGCGCTGTGACGTTAGTTTATTTCCTGTCTCCTGCCTGTTGTCAGACTGTTTTATTTGAAGTGACTTTTATTATGAAGCTATTAAACCACATTAAAGACAATCTGTGCTTCTGTGTTTGTTTACAAAATAATTCCAGTTTTTGTGTCCAACTTCTTTGAAATGTGTGACCTTTGACCCTGAAGGCAACACAAAGACGGAGATGATTCCAACTGTTTCAGTCTAAAACAAAGAAACTCGAGAAACAACCGAGTTTTATTAAGTTTATTTTATTAATAAGTGACATAAAAACTTTAATTTTGACTCAACTGTCTAAACAAAAACAGAATATTTATGCTCATCACTGAGTCACAATAAACCAGAAAAAAAGACGTTTTTAACTCTGAACAAAACATTTCTCCATCATGTGTAACTAGCCGGTTCTCCTCAGAACAGAACCGGGTCGGATGAGAACCCGCCGCTTTCAGTCAAACTGAGGATGAAGAGCAGCAGCTCTGAGGAGGAAGATGCTGCTGCTTTTAATGTCTGAAGCGTCACAGTGGATTTAAAACTCATCCTGTGACCAAAACGTCCGACTTTACGGAATCGATCCTGTAACCTGCTGAGTTTTCTCCGTCTGCGGTTCTCCAGGTTCTCCGGGTTCTCCGGGTTTCCTCTGGACCAGTTAAAGGAACTCATGACTCAAAATCCACGTTCAGTCTTTAAACAGCTGCTGTGTTCTTGGCGTCTCTAGGAGAGCAGAACAAACGTCCTCTATGTGGGACAGTAGAAGCCCAACAGCTGTGATGTAAGCGCCAACCAGGAAAAAAGGAAAACAGCAGTAGTTTTATCAGCTGTTTCTGCCAAAATATGACAGAATTTAAAAAATGTACACAAAAATGTCACAATTTGCACAGAAACAGTTTCCACATTTAGTGGGAGGATCCTGATGATCCTGATGATCCGGACCGCCAACAGGAAGTCCAACAGGAAGTCTTCCTGTGGCTCTGATCCGTCCAGGAGGAAGCGTCAGAGCCGCTACAGGAAGCGACGCTGACGGCCGACAGCTGGTCTGAAATTGCAGCTGAGGGACGCAGCGTCTGCTGACGGTCGTCACGGTAATGCGGCGGGGAAGCACTTGTCCCCGGCGTGCATGGCGACGTGTCTCCTCAGGTGGCCGGCGGAGGTGAAGGCCTTCCCGCAGACGGAGCAGCGGAACTGGCCGCAGTCCGTGTGGACGGCCATGTGGACCTTCAGCGAGCCGGACTGGGCGAAGCGCTTCCCGCAGTGGACGCAGCCGTAGCGTTTCTCCCGTGTGGACGCTCTGGTGGCGCTTCAGGTTGCTGGAGTCGGAGAAGCGTTTCCCGCACAGCGCGCAGACGTACGGCTTCTCGCCCGTGTGAACCCGCATGTGGGTCTTCAGGTTCTTCAGGCAGGCCAGGCTTTTCCCGCAGAAGCTGCAGGTGAACGTCTTCCCTGTGGCGCCGCCGCCGCTCTGCGGCCGCCAGCCGTCCCTCTGTGGCGCCCCCTGCTGCCGCCGCTGCCCCGCTGCAGACAGACTCGCCTCGCTGTGGCTGAAGCCGCTTCCTGAATCGGCTGAAGCGTTTCTGCCGGGAACAAACCCGGAGGAGCCGCCGGGTTCTGCTGCTGCAGCACGGGAGGCTTGCTGCAGCATCATGCAGTCGTAGCCGCTGGCTTCTGGCCTCTGATTGGTCTGCTGGGTGGAGGTGGAGTTCACCTCCGTGCTGGTCCAAGAGACGCCGCCGTCTGCGCTGCTCTCTTCCTGTTTGACCAGCGAGGACGAAGCTTCTGCCTCGGGCTGATCCTCAGAACCGCCACAGAACCGACCTGGAGGCGAAACCAGACTCAGTCCACCTGCAGGTTAACAACAGGAAGGCCAACAGGAAGGCTTACCATGAGGGTCGGACTGGGACCAGGACTCTTCCTCCTCTTCCTCCTCATCCTCCACCTTGATCACCACTGTGGCCTCGGCTGCAGCTGCCTGGAAACAAGGCGCATTGTTCAACAAAAACTGAACAAAGGTTTAAATCGGTTTCTTCTGCTGAGTTTTCATGACCGCGTCGTGTAAACACAATTACAAAACTTTATTTCTGAATTCTGCACCTAAAGTATGAAAAAACTAGAACAATTTCTATAAATAATAGAAACTAAACAGTATTTAAATAATTAAAACTAAATTAAACAGTCGCAGTGAAATAAAACTACTGATGCTGATGCAGCAGCAGATGCGGCTGCTGATGCAGCAGCAGATGCGGTGCTGATGCAGCAGCAGATGCGGCTGCTGATGCAGCAGCAGATGCGGCTGCTGATGCGGCTGCTGATGCAGCAGCAGATGCGGCTGCTGATGCAGCAGCAGATGCGGCTCACCATCTGTCCTGTAGCTTCTGGTTCCGGTTCTGGTGGTGGGCGGGTCTCTCTGCACTGAGAAGTCTGCTGATTGGATGACAGAGACAGCTCTGCTGCAACTTCTGGAGAAGCAAAAACAATGATTGGATTTTGAGCTCAGATCTGCACTTTGACTAGGCCATTGAAAAACACTGGTTCTTATTCTCCAAGTCCTTGGTGCATTCTGAAAGTGGATTAAAATAAAGTGAAATGATTATAGGCTTGATGAAATACGAATTTCTGCCATTTAGTTTTTATTACTTTTGAAAATATAAAATTCTGACTGTGTATCAAATGTTTATTGAATTTTAATATCTGTTGGTCGGTTTCCAGCCTTGGTTTTAACGGAGCCATTAGATTCAATTCTGACAAAACTGTTGAACTTTCAGTCACTAGAGCCGAGTGTCTGATTTTATCCAGGTTAAAATCTGCAGAATATTCAATCACAGCATAACGGCATGCATTTGATTTTCTGTGTCCAAAACAACCATTGCTAAGATGCTAACTAGCAGAGCGAGGATATTTAACTAGTCCTGATTCTCTAATGCAGGTCAGCTGGTGAGACTGGAACCAGCAGAACCTCCAAACTGGTCTGATAGAAAACTGATGCAGTCTGAGCTTCTCTCTCTCTCACACACACACCCTGACACACACACTCTAACTGGAGCATTTATTACTGGGGGAATTATTCAATCTTTGCATTTCAACAGACCAAGTGCAGATTAGTTTTGGAAATGTAAAAATGAGAATATTCTTAAAATCTTTCACTCAAATGTTCAGTTTATTTCTAGAATATCTGAGATCAAATTTCAACTTTATATTATCACTATTATAAAATATCTGGTTAAACTTTTTGTTATTTTGCTGAAATGTTTCTGTCTGCAAAAGCCCTTTTAGATAAACTACGGAATATCCCTTTAGTCCAAATCAGACGCCAACTTCACCCTGGTTTAATGGCTGTGAATGTGAAGTAAATCTGGATCCTAAAGGTCACCTGTCAGTGTCACGCTCCTCCTCGGCTCGTGCACGCGCTGGCTGGCGCGCGGGCGGCCGCTCGCGGCGTACAGCAGCGCGGCGCCGCTGCCGCTCGCGGCGGCTCTGAGCGCGGCAGAGCGCGCCGCCCGCAGCTCCAGGAGCCGCAGTTTCCTCCGCAGAACCTCGTTCTCTTTGCGGCTGCGGCTGATCTCCAGCTGCAGCACCGCGTAGCCGCTGTCCACCAGCTCGCAGATCTCCGCCACCGCCGTGTTGGCCAGAACCCTCCATGATGGAGGCGAGCTGCGAGTGAAACGCGGCGGACGGAGACATTTTCCTGCTGGTCCGAGCGGAACCGCTGAAGGCGGTCAGAACCTACAGAACCTCTGGAGAACCTCTGGAGAACCTCTGTTTACTCGCCCGAGGCCTCAACACGACAGGAACGGAAACAAAACTCAGGACGCATGCGCAAAGTGCTCACACGTTTCCTGGAGTTACCAAAATAAAAGCCGTTAATAAATTCAGGGATTTAAAAGTTCAGGAAATATCATTTTAGAACCTTTATGTGAAAAAAATGGTTTTGTTTAACAATTAAGGAAAAAACATGGTTTCATAAAATTAGGTTAATCTTGTTGGTCTTATTTGTCTTCACTGTTTATAAATCCTGCAGCAGTTTTACTATTGATGTCACTGATGATAAATCTACTGATGATAAAGCTAATGATGATAAATCTAATGATGATAAAACTAATCTAGTAGTTTTAGACATTTAAACTTTGTTTTGCTCTGCAGCAGTTAGTTTTTACTGTTAATATCATTTTGTATTCAGAATGAACTTTGACCCCTCGGAGTCTGACAGCTTCAGGTTGATGATTTCATCCCGTAGGATCTTTCTGGTGTTGAGGAACTCATCCTGACTGGGCCGGAGTCAGGGTGGCCGTTAGGGCAGCAGCCCAGGGCTGCAGCCGTTGGGGCGCCCCAAAGACTTTTATTGTCATTTTTATAAAAAAATGTGGGATTTTTATGAACATAACAATACTCAAAGTATCAAACGAAATTATTTTTTTAACAAAATGGAGCTACTGCTCAGAGGACTTATGTAAGCTATAATACATCAATACATTTATAAAACTATTATATAAGCATCTTTTTTTTCTGTAGTGGACATGGAACCAAAATGTTTCTAGATAAATTACGGCTCCAAACCCAGGAGCAGATCATCTGTGGACTCACCTGAACAGGTTTAGGACAAGAACCTGAAGGACTGAAGAGTTTTTAGAACATTTCCAGAAAAAGCAAAGAAAAATCGTAAAGAATTAAATCAAATCTGGATCTAAACTGAAACAAAAACTGATTAAAACACAGCAGACAGGATGCGTACAAAAGGCAATTATTTTAATATTTCAGGAACAAAACATTCAAACAGCAGGAAAATAGACAAACACAGTTTATTGGAGCCTCTAGTGGTCAGGAGTGGTACTGCATGCTGGTGGCTATTAGTCTGTGGGAAAGTATTAGTTTTATGATGAAGTATTATCTAAAAGGGCTTTTGCAGACAGAAGTATTCCCTTTTATTCCAGAATAAAAGGGAAATAAAAAAATTCATCATAAATACCTGGAATGTCTGAAATCCTTAAATTTCATGGATTAAGCAGTTATAATTTCCTCCCGCTCTAATCTGTCTGTTTCCATCTCATAACGTTTTGCATCATTTAGAAAATGCTACAGAGCTTCATTAAAACCTGAAAATTGAACTTTTGAACTTATTTCAATTTGAAAATTGAAATAAGTGGTTTTACACAAACAGCAGAAAACAACAGAACCGTTTAAAATAAGAATCTCGTTTCTCGCTGTAAGGACATAAAACTTCTCATTGAAACAAGAAAGTTTTTCATTACGAGACGTTTTTGTTTATCTGTTTCCATCTGTAACAAGAAACTGATTAAAACTGAGTTTGAGTTTTATCTCCTAAGAAAGAAAATTGACAAGATGAAACTCATCTCTTTACAACAAACTGATATTAATCTGGCTTTTATCGTTAAACGAGTTTCTGACGAGTTTTATGACTAATTTTAATTAAATTGCTCCTCTGACTTCTGAGAACATAAGGAGTTTCCTCTGATTCTTTCAACGTTTCTCCTACATTGAAAAAAACATTTAAAACTTTAATTTGTTACAAGTAGAGGTTTACTGATCAATCAGCCACCGATCGCCTGTATCTCACTTCGCAGCCTGTTCAGCTCATCTCCTCTTTCCTTCACTGCAAACGCAGCAACAAATCCTGAGCAAACAGAGGAACCAGGAAGGTCAGAGTGAACGGGGAACGTTTGAGTGTTGACAGAAAATACCTGGACTGACGCGTCAAAATGCATCAATAATACATGACATTTAAAAAACAAGCACTGGACTCAGTTTGGACATCCGGAGCGACCAGGCAGCAGGTGAAGCAGCTGCCACAGCCGGCATGACGTCAGAACGCCGAACAATCAACCCGAGAAATGACTGGAGTCCAGATCTGGAGGTGAAAGACGCTGCTCTGGGGGGCGACTTAAAAAAGATTTGAATTAACTTTAGCTACGTCCCAACATGAGACAGAAGATCTGTGAGAAAAATAAATCAATCTCCTGCAACTCCTCCCGGTCAGAAACAACCAATCAGAGCCAGGATACTCGGCTAGCCAATCAGAACCAGATTTACTGTTAAATATTATTTTATTGATCGCAGGTTGATCAGTTTTGACTGAATAGCTGTTGTATTTTGCATGTTTTATGTCTGAATGAGGTGAACTTATTGCCAGATCATTTTTCCATTTTGCCAGATCTCATAGTAGCATTAATACCAAAATGAACAGCCAATCAGATGATCCTCAGTGATCGGACCTCAGAGGTGATCAGAACTGGAATCAAAGAACCAGAACGGAGCATCGCTAGTTACAAATAATCATTAAGTTTATGAAATAGTCGTGTTAATCAAATGTTAACATTGCTAATGCTAATAAATCAAGTTTGACAATCATTTCAAATGCATGTAACAAATTAACTACAGTTTTTAAATTGGAGCTCCAAAGCTGTGTTGAGATGGTTTAAAATTACAATCTCATATTTAGGTTTCAAAGAAAAATAAATCTGATTATGTTTTGAACCTTAAACAGATACCGCTCTGACCGTTTAACGCTTCGCTACAAAGGAAAAGATTTACAACAAAGTTCTGGAGGAACCATTGGGGCCCAGTTCAGCCTGGTTCGGCTCTGTTGTTGGTTCCAGTTGGGCTCAGTTGTGGGTTCCAGTTGGGCTCAGTTGTTGGTTCCAGTTGGGCTCAGTTGTTGGTTCCAGTTGGGCTCAGTTGTTGGTTCCAGTTGGGCTCAGTTGTTGGTTCCAGTTGGGCTCAGTTGTTGGGTCCAGTTGGGCTCAGTTGTTGGTTCCAGTTGAGCTCAGTTGTTGGTTCCAGTTGGGCTCAGTTGTTGGGTCCAGTTGGGCTCAGTTGTTGGGTCCAGTTTGGGCTCAGTTGTTGGGTCCAGTTGAGCTCAGTTGTTGGGTCCAGTTGGACCCGGTTCAGGCCGTTTGGGCCCAGCGGTTGGGCCCGTTTGGACCCAGCTGTTGGGGTGGCACTTCTTCATGTGCAGCTTGAGGCTGTACTTGACCATGAAGCTGCGGGAGCAGAGCGAACAGCCGTACGGTCTCTCCCCCGTGTGAACGTTCAGGTGCGACCTCAGGTGGGCCGACTGCGTGAACTTCTTGCCGCACTGGTCGCAGGTGAACGGCCGCTCGCCCGTGTGGATGCGGGTGTGGACCTCCAGGTTCTGCGCCGTGGCGTAGGTCTTGTTGCAAATGGAGCAGACGAAGCGCTTCCTGTGGGAGTCGTCGTCCGGATCCGCGGCGGAGAGCTGCTGACCCGGCGAGGATCCGTACAGCCCGAAGTTCAGCATGCCGCCGCGGCCGTTTTCAAACTCGAAGGCGGCGCCGCCGTGGTCGTCTGCGGAGCCGGCGATGCCGACCAGCTTCAGGCTGAACACGTCGCCCTCCAGGTTCTCGTCGGGGCAGAACTGGGCGAACGCCATGGAGCCTTTGGGCTGTTTGGACCAGGACGGGTCCAGGTTCAGGTCCAGGTCGGCCCGGTTGGAGGGAGACGGGGCCTCCATCAGGGCGGCACTGCTGAAGAACAGCTGCCTGCTGGGGCCCGGCGGCGCCAGGGAGCAGTCCTGGACCAGCTGGACGTCCGGGTAGGAGCAGTCCGAGGCGTCCGCCTTCAGCTGGACGTTGTCCGGCGCCGAGCCGCCCGGGTCGCTGCGGGGCGAGTCCAGGCTGTAGACCGGGACGTTCTGTTGTGATCCGGCCGACAGTTTGGATGACTTCGGCGCCGACGGGTCGCCGTATATGTACGGCCGGCTGCGGCGGCGGCCGCCGCCGGACGGACCGAGCCGAGGAGGCGGCTTCGCTGGCGGCTGCCACTCCGCCATCCTGGCGCCGCTGTTCTCCTGGACAGAGAGGAAAAATGTGGAGCGTTACAGATCATCCAGAGATTTAAAGGGCCAGTACAATAGAAAAAATCTGTCTCTTTAAAAGTTCCTCCTCTTTCTGAAACTCCTTCCAGGAAATCATGACATGAAATGAAGCTGACTTCAGGAGTTAAAACCAAATAATGTTACTTAAGTCGGCATTGAGACACAGGACGATTCCCTCAACTTCTGATTTTCTAGTTCAGCCTTTTTTCACCTCAGAGTTTCTGGTGGTTTCTGTCACTTTCTGTCACTTTTCTGCTGCTGGAAAAATCCATTTAAACTTGTGACTATAATGTGACTGTCGCTGTCTGACGGTCCTCTGGATGCTTGGTGGAGATTTAAAACCTGCTAGAATCCATCAGGATTATGGGAAATGTAGGCAATCTGTACGCCTGGCTATGAAATCTCAAAGTATGATGAAGCAGTTTTGTCTTCATAAATTGTTACAATAAAAAGGATTTGGTGAAGTGAACTAGTTTGGAAATCTAAAACAAAGATGAATCAATAATTATCCAAATGTTGGTATCACGCAGCAGCAGAACAATCTGCTCACCGACGTCAATGCTGTGGAACCCGTCCGAGTCTTCGTCTTTAATCAGAACCACATCCAGGACCTGGAGGAAGCCACAACATTCTGATCAGAGCAGAATCAGCCATGCAGGATATCAGCTGATGTCTGCGTTGACACTCTGAACAAGTCAAAGAGCTGCAGTTGTTTTTCATCACTTCATCCGTTAAAGATCAGTTCCCCCAGATTAGGAGCTAATTAACTTCACAAAGCCGCTTCCAGCGTCGACCAGAGAGGAAATAATCAGCAGTTTCATCTCACCAACATGTCTGCCGGTACGGAAGCCTGGAGCCGCCAGAGTGGGACTGAATTCAGGAGCAGGATCTCGTTAAAACTTGAAAGTTATCTTGTCAGAACCGGAAAACTTTCTCATTTTAACAAGATATAGAAAAAAAAAGTTTTTCTGACAGATTGCATCTTCCCTCTGACTCTCCGTTTTCTTCCAGACGGCACTCGAACGCCCCACGAGGTTCTGCAGTTTCACGTTACGACCTTTCTCGTTTTAACCAGAATATGTTCTGGTTTTAATGAGATATAAATCTTGTTATAACGAGAGAGTCTCCGGTTTTAACGAGATTCTGCTCCTGTGTTTACGTCCTGCAGTGAAACACCTCCGTGTGCATGAGGACGGTTTTCTTCCAGTCTGGAGATTTGCCTCCAAACGCAGCAACATGATGATAAATATCCATTAAAACTGGAGACGGGCTTCACATCACCTTCATTTTCATGTAAAAATCATTTTCTGAACATTTCCCATATTCTCATTTTTATTTTCCATTTGGAACCAAAATGAAAACAAATATTTCTTCTTTATTCTCTTTGAGATCAACAATATTTTATTCAGTAATGATCTCAAATCACAAAGCAGTATCCATGGATCTAAGCTTTTTATGCAAATGAGTGGTCCCTTAATTAAATGTTGACGTTTATGATTCAAAATTAAGATTCTTTGTTTTACCAGCTGGGAGGAAAATACCAACCCAAAATGAAATATGGATCAAGAGATACTGCAGTATTTCAAGTGTTTAATCTCCTATTCTTTGTCCCGATGGTTTTCTGAAGATAATGAGTTGATTTCAGGTTCTCAAAATGGGTAATTAATTCATTATCTTCAGGAAACCATAGGGAAAAAGTGCCTCCATATATAAACGAGTTGTTTTCTAAAGGCTTACTGTAGATGGGAAAATACAAGAGGAAATTTCACTCCAAAAGTTTTCTGGAATTTTCTAGAAAAATGTATAATTTTGTTTGTTTCAAAAGTCGACCATTTGTTTGAAAAAACTTTGATTAAATGCTGAAATTTTCAACAATAATCTTGGGATTATTTTCACCTTGAAACTCAGAAAATTTCTAAAGTCTCAAAATGTCGAGATTGTAGGAAATTTCCAAGAACTGTAGAAAAACAGGAAGAGAAAAATGTTTTTATCGACCTGCAGGAGCAGGCCGTAATTACTGAGTGATAATTAGTGATTGATTATCACTAATAATTAGTTATTACTAATTACTAGTGATAACCAATCACTAATTATTGAGTAATACCCTGACCTCTGCTGTCTCTGTGGTTAATAATCTGTGTGCGGTCAGAACCGGTACCTCCTCCCGCTCCACCCCCGCGGATCCTCCGTCCCCTCCGGATCCTCCTCCGGATTCCCGCGCGGCGTCTTCCCGCTGCCTGTCCCGCTGTCTCTGCGCTGTTTCCGGTGGGACGGCCGCCTTCGTCGCCTCGGTCTTGTCCTCCGGGGCCTGGCCGTCCCCGCCGCCCGGGACCACGATGGACTCGATGAGGTGCAGCTTCTTGCGCAGGTCGTGGTTCTCCTGGCGGCTGCGGCTGATCTCCAGCCGCAGCCCCGAGTAGCCCTCCTCCACCAGCTCGCAGATCTCCGCCAGCGCCGCCTTGGCCAGCGCTCCCAGCACCGCGGACAGCTGCTCCTGGAGCGCCTTGCTGCTCAGAACCGACATCCCGACCGCTACCGGAACCGGACCCGAACTGGAGCAGCTCCGGACCGAACGGACGAACCAAAGCCGACCTCACAAACCGTCCGGGACACGAGCCTCGCAGAGCTGGAGCTTCCACAGCGGCTAAGACTACAGGAAGTCATGGGTTTCATCGTGACGTCACGTCCGGATAAAGATTCCATTTCAAAGTCACGTTTAGAAACTAAAATGAGTTTTTATTGTTAAACCTTTACTGCGGTATTTTAAATAACCCAATAATTTGGACACTTATAGAGGACCAATGCTGTCGCAAAGTTAATACAGAAACAAATAAATACTCAGATTAAATGTGATTAAATGTACAAAAACACAGTAAATAAATGTTGGTGGTAATTAAATTACAGACCGAAGTAAATCTATTCATGTCTTTTCATCAAGTTACTTTACCGTGGTAATATCTTTATTATCAATAACGTCTTTATAAAGTTTTATTTGTTTTGCTTTGAATATTTTTGTCTGTTTTTTTCTCCCTTTGTATTTTTACCCTTTTCATTTCTCCAATGCTATTTTGCTTTTCTATATGTATTTCTGTTTCTGCTAAAATCCCCAAATATTTGAGACCTCCACTGAAAACCAAGTTTATTTGCATTAATAATCGATAATAATGCATCTTGGCATCACTGTGCACCAAAGGATAACATTTACAGTCTGCCTAAACTACAGATAACTAAATGTCTGTAAAAAAAATTAATTTACTAACGTTGTAATCCACTGTACTAATTGGAAAACTTCACAAATCATTATTACTAAATTAACTTGTCAAATTAAACTAATTGGGATGCATATATAATGTTTAAAGGTTAAAAAAAGAATAAAACCATAAATTTAAAATGAAACTATCTCCACTGAGCCAACAGATTGTAAAATGATCATTAAAAACAATAACATCTTTTTAAAGTAGCTCTGATACAATCAACCGATTCGAACTTTTGATAAATGATTTATTTGAGGATTTCACTGCAACTGCAATAAATTACACAAACGGTAAACAGTTTGAATTTATTATTAAAACAGTCAACATAAAGCTCACATCTTCACTTTCACCATCAGTCACATGTTTTTCTTCCAGGTTTGATTATTCCACTCTGCTTTTTTTATCGCAAGCGTAAAATTAATAACCTTCCATGATGGGTGGATGTAAACACAGCAGGTTGTTCTTTAGCTTTAATTTTATTGTTTGATTCTATAAGATAAAAAATTAAAATTTAATTTTAGAAAATTAAATTTTAACTGACTGACACCAAACTTCAGCGCCACTCATGCAGCCTCTAAAGACAAAACTATGTTGCTACTGGAATGTCTTCCTGTTTAAAAGTTAAAAAAAAGTGAAAGAGAAGGCAGAGAGAAGAAATCTGAGCAGCTTTTCCACTGAAATGTCTGGATGAACAGAAAAAGTCATGGAACTGCTGGAGGTTCTGGTCCATCAGCAGAGCCGGCCCAAGGCATACGCAAGTTTAAGCAGCAGCTTAGAGCCGCCACACAACCTGTTGTAGAAATGGGATTTCTTCCTCCTGATGGCTGCTGCCACTGTTGGGAAATATAACATCTCAAACTTGTTCACTGTAAATAGTGTTTAAATTGTGTTTAAAACTGTAAATTTAGTGTTTATCAGCTGATGCTACTTTCAAATGGTGAGAACAATATGGCACACTTAAATCCCACTCAGCATTTTAAAATGAAATAATTTTAGTTTATGACTTCTGTAATTTTAAAATTAACAGCCAAAATAACACTGCTAAGCTAGTAGCAAATGTTGCTAATGCAGGTTCGTTACATACAGAGCAGATCAGGAATGAAGAATCTGGTGTTGACATGTATGGAAATCTGCTTTGGGTCCCAAAAGGCTTGGGCCGGCCCTGTCAGCGGGTCAGCGGGTCTGGGCTCGGCTCTGGCCCAGTCAAAGCGGCACCATGTGATGTTTCTGCTGGTGGATCCGCAGGTTCTGCTTGGCCGCGAAGCATTTCCCGCAGTGCTCGCAGGAGAAGGGTCGCTCCCCCGTGTGGACGCTCTGGTGCGTCTTCAGGTGGCCCGACTGCGTGAAGCGCTTCCCGCACTGCGCGCAGCTGTACGGCCTCTCGCCCGTGTGAACGCGGACGTGTGTCTCCAGGCTGCGCGATGATGTGAAGCATTTTCCGCAGTAGTTACAGGCAAATCGCTGGTCCCTGCAGAACCGGCTGAGCTCCAGCGGGTCGAGTCTGGAGCCGCCAAGTGCCAGCAGCATGGAGCGGTGCGGCACCGGCATCATGCCGGGCACGGCCTGGCTGCTCCAGGAGGCGCCGGGGTCCAAATCCACGTCGCAGGGGACGGACCCGACCAGAGCAGAACCCCGCTTCAGGTCTGACAGTCCGGGCAGCGCCGCCGGTCCGTCTCCAGATCCCAGCAGGAAGCCGGTCCTGATGTCCGCTGCAGACAGAGCGCCGCTGTCCGACTCGGAGGCCAGGTCAAAGTCCGCAGAACCGCCCTCAGCGGCGCCGGACGGGCCCGGAGACGGCCGGCCACTGCAGGAGCTGCTCTGGTCCCAACACCGCATGTCAGAGATCTTCCTGCCGGATGGGCCCTCCTGGCCCACAGGGAGGCCCGGGTCCGCCTCCTTACCTGAACATGGATCAGAACCAAGGTTTCACTAACGCTGGCCTAGTCCATACATAGCAGGATATTGAGGAAACTGAACAGATTTATATGCAATTTGGTCTTTCGTCCACAGCAGAACTTTGCTTCTGTTTGGGTTTCTTCTGCTTCTACAAACTGTCCAACTTCTTAAAACAGAACAGAAATCAATCACTCGGCTGGTTTTGGCCGTACATTTGAGCTTCAACACGTTTGGTGCTAACAGGAAGTCGCGGTTCTTTTGATGGATTCTGATTGGCTGTTAGTGTATCGTATTTCAGCGGGTTGGTGTGGATCAACTCTTTCCTGAAACTGATCTCCTGTGTGTGATATTTTTTAAACGATGCGGTGCAGCTATCGTTTTTTTTTCTTATAAAGAAAAACGATACATGTGTCCTAAAGCTGGAATACTTAGAGAAACCCAAATGAACGCGGGTTGGTCTCACCGTCCTCCTGCAGGAGCAGCGGGTCGTCCTTCTCCTCCTCCGTATCCTCTTTGATCACAACGATGTCCTGATCCATTTGGATCGGCTCCTCCGCAGCGGCTGCAGCAGAATCCTGTCAGAAGAAACAACATGGCGGTTTTATATAAATTAGTTCATTAGTGAAGTAAAGTGATGGGGGATGTCTGACCTCTGCAGGAACGGATCCATGTCCTCTGAAGTTGGAGGGTTTTATCTGCTGTAGAGACGCTTCAGCTTCCAACTCTGGGTGGGAAAACAAACACAGATAAAAACAAACCTGTAGGAAAAAATCCAGAAAATGTCCAATATTTACAGGATGAACTGTAAAACAGACAGAAAGAATGAGCTGTTATTTTTAACAATGAGCCTCAACTGAATCAATCAAACCAGTAAAGCACGGTAGAGGCTCCATCATGGTTCAAAACAAAAATATCTGCTTGTGTTGAAATGCGCAGTCAGTCATCTCCACTGCACTGACTCTGAAGAATAAAAATATCAAACTTTTATTTTAGAAGTTTAGTCTTTGGTTTAAAAGCTTTGATATAAAAAGAAAACAATATATTTTTCTAGAAAGAATGTCATTTTCCAGATCAGGATATATGAAACTTTAGGAAGAATTCTCATGTTTTGTTTTTTCCAAATGTTTAACGCCGACAGATTTATAAAAAATAATATCAGAAAACATTGTATTGGCTTTGTGACGCTGGAATAAATCAGTAATGTGTGTAAATGACTTCAGTTTCAAAATCCACATTTTCTATTCTGTCCTCGGAAAGATGGCAGTGTTTACAGTTTACCCCAGTGCTGCCCTTCCCCACCTGCTGCTGAGGAAAGAGGACAGCTACATTTTTTCCTTTCTTGAGGAAATTCTGGCATTTTGGAAATATTTTCACTTGGCAAAAAAAGGAGTATTATCTGACAATGTCTTACAGCTGCTACTTGTTTCATCTTATTTTTTAAATGTATGACTGCAATAGCATCAGATAGGCATAACTGTCATATTTCAAATGAATACAAATTGTTATAGTTGATAGTCCAACACTAAAAATGGGCGATATCTTTAATCTGGGTTGTTGCTCTCTGGTGACACAATAGAATAAAAACATTGAGTATAACTACAGGCAGCAGGTTGGTGGTGGCCGCACTGGGTTCTGCCCAGGACCCCACTCAGCTTTTAACCGGCCCTGGAAACCCATCAGTTGAACTATAACAAAACAAACCCACTACATGCTTTCTCCTGCGTTATAACTGTAAAAACCGGGATGTGTTGTATTTTCTGGTTTTATTAATATGCCGAATTGAAAAGTGCCTCAGATGAAACTCATCCTGCTGAGAATTTCTGCCTGACTTTGTTCCCAGTGGAGCCGAAACCGCTTTATTGCACTTTTCTAATGGAGTTTGGTGGAAACATGAAGCTCTGAGTTCATCATTCACAACCAGTAATAATAATAACAAACAGAACCGGTTCGGTTCCGCTGAGCTCACCGGCCGCAGCCTCCTCCGGCCCGCCGGTCCGGCGGCCGCCCCGGGCGATGATGGACTCGATGAGCTCCAGCTTCGTCCGCAGCGCCTCGTTCTCCTTGCGGCTGCGGGAGATCTCCAGCCGCAGGACGGCGTAGCCGTCATCCACCAGCCCGCAGATCTCCGCCACCGCGGCTCGGGTCAGCGCCTCCATGATGGACGACAGCTGGGACTGGAAGCCCTTCAAGCTGCTCATTGTGGCGGGGAAACGAGCTCAGGTCTCAGCAGCAGCAGCTCCCAAAGGCCGGCAGGCTGAGATCCAGCGACCTGCAGCTTTCTGTGGGCAACTAAACCGGGTCTGGAGCCGAAGAGCGGCTCACCTGCTCGGGAAAACGGCCGGATGCTGCAGATGTTGCTGGAACTTCCTCTGTGTGCGCTGAATTTTCAAAATAAGAGTCAGGGATGCTGTGTTCAATAGCACATTGGAAAATTCGAGCTTTATTGGTTTTTGTTGTTTTTCTATGTTTGACCATTTAATCCTGACAATTGAAATTGTCAGGAATCACGAAGTATTGGGCCAGACGAAAAAATAAAAAGTTAATATTACGAGAATGAAATTAAAGTTGAAATAAAGCGAGAATGAAGGCGTAAAATTACTACAATAACGGAATAATACGGGAATAGTGATAATGATCAAGTCATAACAATTTAAAAATAAAGTAATCAATATGAGAATAAGAACCGTAACTTTGTTCGGACTTTATTCCAGTAATCCAGGACTTTATAATCTGTGACTTTAATCATCTCGTATTTTTTCTTCGCCCTGAAAACTGAAACAAACAGGAAAATGTGTGACAGCGTTTCTGGTGTGTTTCAAGTTTTAATTTTAATAAGTGATGTAGAACCATCACCCAGCAGATCATGGAAGGAAATCAGCCAAATCAATAAGTTCATGAAAAGTTATTGTACATTTCAGAACCAATATGAGTCAGATGTTTCCTTTCTATTTCAAATTCTTGTTTATATTTTATTAATCTTAAAAATAAATTAAATATTATTTAACTCTTACTATTTAAGAAAAACTACAGTAAAAACTAAAAAGTAAATTGTATTAAAAGATTTCTAAAGATTTCTGTATCAGGATAAAGCAATAAAACAAGCATGAGATGCTACAATAGACGTAAAAATTCAAACATAAAATAATGATGGTGGAGTATTTACCTTTAATCAATCCATTGATTGATTGATTTGCCTTTAAAGGTCTAAACAGAAGGATGAACTGAGCTCTGATTTATTGATAAATTTTGACCAGATCCTATCATTAATACACTTACCACTCTTAATTCTTTTTTATTATTCTTAATTTTTGACTTGTTTTGTGATCATTTCAATTTCAGAAAAAAATCATTTAAATTAGTTTTGAAATGTTTAAAATTACCTACCGAATTTGAACGCATCAAAAAGTCGGTTTCCACGGCAACGCGTCACAACGACAGAGACGCAGATGGTTTTCAGTAAGTTTAGGGGCAAATGTTCCGAAAAAAATGATCAAAACGAACAAATAACGACTGCAAGATACATTTTACTGTTGGTGTTTAAACTTTAGAATCTATTTGTCTTTAAATCTCAATTTATTAGTTTGTGTTTACATTTTGTTTTCGCTTCCTGGAAAATAAATGCTAGTTAGCTTAGCCGCCCAGTGGAGTTGTACTGTTACTATTAACTTTGAATGGTGATGAGTTAATTATAATATTCTAAAGGTTTAAAATAGTCTTGTGTTGAATTAATTCATTCCGTTGACATGACTGAACAAAATCATTGAATCCTAAACTTTCAGAAATGCTCCAGAAAGGCATGTGTTCATGTGATCTCCATGTTTTTCCCATCCAGTCACAGAGGAGCTGATCCGGCGGAGGGCCGAGCACAACGACTGTGAGATCCTGACCCTGGAGGAGGTTTCTCTGCACCAGCAGGACATCGAGAGGATCCAGCATGTGGACAGGTGGTGCAGGGAGCTGAGGATCCTCTACCTGCAGAACAACCTCATCCCCAGAATCGGTACCGACACGTCCATCAGAAAACACAGCCAGGAGGGGTTTATGCTGCATCATCTGGAGCTTCGACTGATTTATCCATTCCAGGGCGGAATGATAATTATGCAACATGCAGTAGAAATTATTCTAAAGAACTGGAGTTTATTATTTATTTATGGTAAAAATGACCCAAAAATCCTCAGCTGAGGAAGGAAGTTTTATGTCAGTTTGCTTAGTGAGTTCCAGAACCCATTCTGATGAGTTATTATAATTTAATTGGTCAAATATTCATCCAGAATTATGTTAAAATTACATGAATAGGTACTTAAGTGTCTGGAAAAGGTGAAACCCTCAAAGAAGCTTTAAAAATGCATGTGAGGATGTGAATACTTTTGATCAGAGACGCAGTTTTAAAAATCATTTAATTTTTTTTTTTATTCTCTTAAAAAATAAACTTTCAAATGACTCATTAAAATCCCCAAATTTAAGCATTTGTGTCAATGTGAATGTATGGAAACCAGAACGTTATTATTTATGGTAGAAATGATTGGGAAGCAGAGACGTGAATCTTTCAGCAGCAAGAAATTAAAATGTGACTTTTAGGATCGATCCAGAAACTATTTTTATTTCAGAAATAAAAATACAGTCTACAGTAAACCGAATTTAAACATCCTGTTTGAATTATGTGACTCACTAATGCTGTCAGATTATATTTAAACCAAAGCAGTTTGTGCATAAAATACTCAATAAATATTAGCTTAGCTTAGCAGCCTGGGCTTTTCTTAAATAAAAATATATCAAACAACCATTCAAAAATATTATTTTACAAAAGTTTAAGCAGATGAAATGTGATTGTTTTGAATCGATTCACAGTTCCCAGAACCAGGATGTTTTTCTGCTTCTCTGTTGGATGCGACTGATTCTTAGTGTTTCACCAGTGATAGAGCTCCAGTTACTGAATTCCTGAGGAGTTTTTATAGTTTCATCTTTTACAGTTCAGGCTTTTCTGATATTGCAGAGAACGTGGGGCGCCTAAAGAAGCTGGAGTATCTGAATCTGGCCTTGAACAACATCCAAGTCATTGAAAACCTGGAAGGTGTGCGCGCTGAGCCGACCCGGCAGGCCCGCTTTTCAGAAGCAGACTCTGATTTTGCTCCTGCCTTCAGGCTGCGAGAGCCTCCGGAAGCTGGACCTGACGGTGAACTTCGTGGGTCTGCTGAGCAGCGTGGAGTCGCTGCGGCACAACGCCCACCTGAGGGAGCTCTTCCTGGTGGGGAACCCCTGCACCGAGTTCCAGGGCTACCGGCAGTACGTCGTGGCGGCGCTGCCTCAGCTCAAGGTCTCCGCACTTCCTCAAACTTCTTCAGCAAAACAAGGATTTTAAAGAGGACCTGTTACGCAAAATTCACATTTTGGCATCTAATCCATAATAGATCACTTTTAAATTTCTTTGGGGACTTAAATCTAGATTTGAAGGCAGTACTTGCAGCTGAAGCTAACTCGTTAGCATCCAGATCTCCCCTTTCCTGTGTGTCTGTCTCCAGTGGCTGGACGGGACGGAGATCAGCCGGTCGGAGCGGATCAGAGCCTCGCAGGGCCTGGAGCAGGTGAGGAGGCGAGTCAGAGAGCAGGAGCAGGAGTACCTGAGGAGGAGAGAGGAGCAGAAAGAGGAGGCTGCACGGAGAGACCAGGAGAGGAAACCAGAGTGAGTTTCAGCAAGTGGAGTTATTTCTATCAGAAGAACAGAGTTTTGATCATATTTCTCCTTAAATTCAGGATCTGGAGCTGAAAGCAAACCTGGTTCAAACTTTCCCAGATGGTCTGAATGTCTGCGTGTTCCTCCTCAGCTCACAGGATGACAAGGAGAACCTGCGGAGCGCCGAGGAGGAGGAGCAGGACTTCTGGCACACGCCCTGCCCCTTCACCCCCGAGTCCCGGCTGGAGGCGCACCGCCGCCTGGAGGAGAAGAAGAACGCCGACAGGAAGTGAGTTTCATCCATTTTATCCTCTAAACATCTTAAACACAGATTTACATATTTAATTATGTATTTTCATAGTGTTTAAAATGTCTATATTAATAGAAAACCAGGCGTTAAACAGGAACCAATATCCAACAACTCAAAATATAAATTTTGTCTGGTGGATGTAGTTTAGGATCTTGGCCACAAGGTGTCACTAAAGCACCTGTTTCTATCTCCACCTGAGCAGCTGATGTTACGACGCTTCCTAAAGTTTTTCATACTTTCTTCATCCTGGAGGAAAATCAGAGAAACGTTTCAGGAAGGAAGCAGAGATGAAAACAGATTCAGCTCCAGTTCAAACTGGTTCAGTGGTACCAGGCCGACTGGTACCAGTTCAACAACCTTCAGTCAGACAGCAGAAACATCTGGACCTGTGATCCCAAACCAGAGAAGCAGAACCAGACCTGCTGGTACCTCCCAACCCAACTAATGAGCTTTTCCTCCTGGTACATTTCTCCTGTTTTGTGTTGGATTCGGATTTATTCAGATTTTAATATCAGACGAAGAAAAACCTGAGTAAACACAAAAACTGCTTCCAGGACGCGAGTCTCAATCAGATCACATCATTTTTACATTTGACCAAATTCGATGGCAAAATAATAATTAATCAGCCGAATGCGACCAGATCCGACTTTTCACACGAGTCTGAAAGACCCGATTCTTTTCACTCCGCAGACGTCGAGTCTGAGCCGCTTCCATACGTGGAGCTAAATTGTATCTTATAGTTGTCAAAGCGTCTGCAGTCTGAACTCCCACGTTGCATTTTATCCCATTTCTTCTTCTCTGACATGAAACCTGCATCTTAATTCTGCACCAGAAGAAGAAAGACTGAATCTTTCTGATCCATTTATTTAGGACTCATTCCTTAAAGTCCTTCCTTCACACCTGAAGCCGTCAGTCAGTCATCAAAAGAGGAAAAAACAACTAAATGAAAAACAAACGGATTAAAACTTTTCAGCATGTTGAGCGTTTCTGTGCAGATTTGATGTTTTGCTCCGAACGGATCTTTGGGTCCTGGCAGCAGGATGCTGCAGCGTCACGGACCCGTCCTTCCTGGGCATGATGGCCGACGTTAATCTGACGTCAGCAGAGCAGATTAGAGCGTCTGCTGCTGAGTCCGCTCAGGTTAATTAGCAGCTTAACGGGCCGATTGTTCTGAGAGTGTTCTGGTGACGTCGGACCGAACAGAGACCCGCCGGGTCAGCAGGAAGACAGGATGTAGTCGCTGGACCCGTCCTGGACGGACAGAACTGGACCCGGAGTTCTGCTGCGGCCCGCTGGGACTCAGAACGCCTGGATTCAGAACAGAACCGGCGGTTTAGAGGTGAAGGTTCTGGTCAGAACCGACAGGTTTAGAGGTGATTTAAAGGTGAAATGTTGGATTATTTGAAGTATCCAGACTGGATCCCGCTGATCCAGAACGGATCCTGCTGATCCAGACTGGATCCCGCTGATCCAGAACGGATCCTGCTGATCCAGAACGGATCCTGCTGATCCAGAACGGATCCCGCTGATTCTCCCCGTTCTCCCAAAGTCTGATTAAATCAGTCGGTTTCCCTGGAAGCTGAATCTCTTTCCAGAGTTTAAATTTCCTGAGATTTGAACTTTGACCTCTCATCGTGTTCCTTCTCTCTGTTGCTCTCAAACACAATCTGGTTACAACGCAGTTCAATGACTCCGACCCAAAACAACGACTACAGATAATAGCACTTTGCAGAAAGTAATTTCGGTCCTATGATGGATTTATTCCACTGATGGATTGTTCATAAACAAAACTTCAACTTCAGTTTATAATTCAAAGTTTTCTACTTGAGGAAACCCTCAGATTCACGGCTCCTGGACGCAGCAGACAATCTCTCTGACTTTACAGCAATTATCATCCTGGTTAAGCATCTGGTGAGAGTGGAGAGGAACATCGACCTTTCAGCAGGAAGAGAAAACTGTCCTCTGCTGCGACTGACAGACTCACAGAGCCGGCAGCAGAGTCGGATCTGCCTGGTCAGGAAGGAGCGCTGGCCGTCGCTCCACCGTCAGTCTGAACTCTTGGCCAGACGGGTCTCAGAAATCCCTCCGAATGTTTATTCCTCTTGGGTTGCGCTGACCTCTTGACCCTCACAGGTACTGCCCTCTCATCCCGTGACGTAAATCCACAAACCAGTCAACGAAAGCACCACATCGCCACCAACACCTGTGATTTAAACTGGTTTCATCTGGTGTGTCTGTGATTTAAACTGGTCTCATCTGGTGTGTCTGTGATTAAACTGGTCTCATCTGGTGTGTCTGTGATTTAAACTGGTCTCATCTGGGTGTCTGTGATTTAAACTGGTCTCATCTGGTCTGTCTGTGATTTAAACTGGTTTCATCTGGTGTGTCTGTGATTTAAACTGGTCTCATCTGGTGTGTCTGTGATTTAAACTGGTCTCATCTGGTGTGTCTGTGATTTAAACTGGTCTCATCTGGTGTGTCTGTGATTTAAACTGGTCTCATCTGGTGTGTCTGTGATTTAAACTGGTCTCATCTGGTGTGTCTGTGATTTAAACTGGTCTCATCTGGTGTGTCTGTGATTTAAACTGGTCTCATCTGGTCTGTCTGTGATTTAAACTGGTCTCATCTGGTGTGTCTGTGATTTAAACTGGTCTCATCTGGTGTGTCTGATTTAAACTGGTCTCATCTGGTCTGTCTGTGATTTAAACTGGTTTCATCTGGTGTGTCGTCGCCTTTGGGCCGGTTGTGGATCCATGCCAGTGGATGTGAATCTTTATAACCCCATGAATCAACTCCACTGAACCATTAAATGATTAAAGGATAAATCATTCACCGAACTGCTGAGCATTTTATGCCACATGATGCTGAAGGCGTGTAACTGGACAGGAAGCTGGTACCAGTAGAACTGGTAATCCTGTCGCCTGGTTCCTGGGTTAAAGGCTGCGTCCGTCCCTTTCTGAAGGTCTGTTGACATGCGGCCCTGCTGGGCGTCACTCTGTTGTTCTGTAACGAGCCGTGGAGGCGAAGCTGCAGCTGCGATTAAAGGCCACACAGATAAACCTGGAAACGTCTACAGCCTGATTATAAATCCATAAACTCTCCGGGTCAGGCCGGGCCGTCTGTGTTTAACGCCTCCAGACCAACCAACAGACCGTCCCACCGCTAACTGGATGATTTCCCGTCAGTCTGCAGGGTTGACTCGGTTCTCATGTTTCTGTTTATTTGTTGTTCAAAACCACAGAGCTCAGATTTAGGCTCTGATGGAAACAGTGTCAGCACAAACAGACAGAGGAGAGAAAAAATGTCAAAATAGCTCAATTTTTGTTGTTTTCTGGCACAGAAAGCATCCGCTGTGGTGCAGTTTATCTCTGGATGTCCACTGGTTTGCATCACACAGAGCCTTCAGAAAGTCTCAGTTTTCAAACTGAGACGTTTCCTGCTGACTCACAGCTTTCAGCTTCCCTGACGCCTGTAGCAGCAGAACCGCCGAGCTTTGGCTGAAGGATGATGGGTTACCGCTGCGTCGTCCAACTTTCTGATCAGTCCTCCAAATGTTTAGCGCTTCAGTTGGAGTTAACTCACACTCTGAAAAGTTAAAGCGTTTTAGAGTCCAAAGAGCTGAAAGCACCACTGAATCCATCTGTGGCGTCACAGGAATGTCAGCAGAGATGAATGTCCTGCTCCTGTGGTTGTTTCTGCTTAAGGTCGACCAGGAGACGATTCTGCAGAGCTGAGACTGGAAACACAAAGACACTTGGAGGTCAAAGACACTTCAGCCTGACTAATGGGGTCAGCTGGTGCAGGTGGAGATTAGCATGAACCGTTCCTCTGAGGCATCGTGTGCTCTGCTTCGAGTCCGTGTTGATGTGTTCGGACCTCTGCAGAGTCGGCCTGAGCACCTGGTTGGCCTCCGGATGAACTCATCCTCGGTCAGATGGGACCTGACCAGGCTCCCTGCTGAACGCTCACATCGGTTCACTTACGGCTTGTGAATAACCAGAGGTGTCCAGCAGGGACGGAGCCAAGTCTGGTTCCTCCAGGACTAGGACCGATCTCCAGTCTTTGGTCCTGCGGTCTCTAATCTCCAGTCTTTGGTCCTGCGGTCTCTAATCTCCAGTCTTTGGTCCTGCGGTCTCTAATCTCCAGTCTTTGGTCCTGCGGTCTCTAATCTCCAGTCTTTGGTCCTGCGGTCTCTAATCTCCAGTCTTTGGTCCTGCGGTCTCTAATCTCCAGTCTTTGGTCCTGCGGTCTCTAATCTCCAGTCTTTGGTCCTGCGGGTCTCTAATCTCCAGTCTTTGGTCCTGCGGTCTCTAATCTCCAGTCTTTGGTCCTGCGGTCTCTAATCCCAGTCTTTGGTCCTGCGGGTCTCTAATCTCCAGTCTTTGGTCCTGCGGTCTCTAATCTCCAGTCTTTGGTCCTGCGGTCTCTAATCTCCAGTCTTTGGTCCTGCGGGTCTCTAATCTCCAGTCTTTGGTCCTGCGGTCTCTAATCTCCAGTCTTTGGTCCTGCGGGTCTCTAATCTCCAGTCTTTGGTCCTGCGGTCTCTAATCTCCAGTCTTTGGTCCTGCGGGTCTCTAATCTCCAGTCTTTGGTCCTGCGGGTCTCTAATCTCCAGTCTTTGGTCCTGCGGTCTCTAATCTCCAGTCTTTGGTCCTGCGGTCTCTAATCTCCGGTCTTTGGTCCTGAGGGTCTCCGACCTCCGGCCCTGGTGTCTGGGCCACCGGGGTTCCCTCTGTCCTGAGCTGGAAGGTCCCGGCTGTACGTCACGTAAACCGATGAGTTGAGTCTTCAGAGGACTCGCTTCCAGGACGGACCCGTCGGCTCGTTGCTAACTGGAAACTGTCTGAAGAGATCATCCTCTCCTCCTGACTCCACTCAGGCCAGCAGAGAGCTGTCACTTCTGCATGACTCGGCTGTTTGAGACGCCTCTTCTCACCCATCTGAGGAAGACGTGATGCAGAGCCACAATGTCACCTTGTGAACAGCAGAGAGAAGCTGCTGCATGGACAGAAAGACACGGATGAGGATGCTCATTTGGTCTGGATTCAGTCAAATCTCATTTCACAGCTTTAATAGTCATAAACTCCACCTCCACAAAGTTCAAAACTTGCAGCATTTGTTCAGGATTTACGTAGGATTTTGGTCTAATTTCTGGTGCAAGTATCTTAGAACACTTGAAATAAGACAAAACTAACTCCAACTTTTTAATGAGATATAGGAGTTGATGTAAAAACGTTTTACCATCTTTGTTGAGAAAGTTGCAGTTCCACTGGGAGGTTATTTAACAAGATATTTTCTGTACACCTGATTTCACACGCATGAAATTGCGACGATTGGGTGTGAAGAAAGAAAACGATGCAACAAAACAAGTTGATATTCAGTCTGGCGGCTCGTTCTTCTTCTCCGCGGCTCTGAACTCCTCTGAAGGCTCCTCATGGCCAGAGGTCATGACCCTCCGCAGAGCGCTAAACGCTCACCTGCCCAGACACAGACGCAGCCATCTGCTGCGCGGCGGGTCTGATGGACGGACGGTCGTGAGGAGCGTGTTTCGCCGCAGCTGAAGGAGAGACGGCCGACAGAAACACTTTGACTCTCATCCAGCTTCAGGAGGGAAAACTGATTATGCAGATTTAACCCTGCGAGACCCAGACATAAAAAATGAAAACAAAACAATGTAGATTTGTAGCATTACTTTGGAGATTAAATTGTTTTCAGATTTCTTTTTTGTTTTTGTAAAGTTTTATAAAAATGTCATATTAAATATAAAGTTATTTTACATTTTGAACAAATATTGCACAAAAAATGACAAAAATCATCTTTTTTAAAGTTTAAAAGAGGCAGGTTGTAATATCTGCATGACCCGTCTTCAATGCTCTGACTGATTTAAGATGGTTTTAGATTCATGTAACTATGTTGGGTTTTGAGTGACTGAACCCAACATAAACTTTGTTTTGGAGATAAACTGTCTAAACTGGCCCTTAACTGTGCTATATTTATGTTTCTGTTCAATTTGTGACATTTTAGTGTAAATTTGATTTAATTCTTAAATATTTTTACCTGAGATCATCGCAATGCTGCCCTCTATGGACCAAAGTTTGCTACTGCAGTTAAATTTTCCTATTGGCTCCAGCTTGAACCACGCCCCCTGGTGTCAGAAGTTGGTGTCTGCGTATCTTGGCTCCGCCCACTTTGGAGACCTTTCAGATGAAAACATGGCGGCCCCCTTCAGACGCCATGATTCTGGACCTGATGGTTCCGTCATCCGTTTGTCTGGATGTGGTTCTGTGTCTCTGCAGGGAACCAGAGAAGAAGAGCAAACCTCCCAGGACTCTGATCACCGCTGACGGACGAGTCATGAACATCAACGAACCCAAGTGAGAAAACCAGCCTCTGGTGCTTTGACAGGATCCAGATTTCTGTTCTGCTACATTCTAGATCAGCTCTGACGTGACCTTTGACCTGCAGCCCTGCGTGGGGTTTCTGATGTTTGTGTGTCAGGTTGGCCTTTTCTCTGGCGGAGGATGAAGAAAGCAACGCTGTGGTTGGACCTGGCCGTTTACAGGTGAGACCTGCTGGCAGCTGCCATATTTAAACTGTTTTTCATTCCCAGTTTTATTCTTTTTGATCTTTTGGGGAAAAATGTATAAAAACATTCGATGGATTAGAAACAGGATGAACTGTCCTCCTCAGACACATGGACACCTCCCTGATGGACGTGGACGTCCAGCCGACCTACGCCAGAGTCAGCGTCAAAGGAAAGGTACTGAGACCAAAAACACTTTTCACATGAAGACTGAAAACAGAGGGCAGTCTTCACTCCATCTCAGTATGTCTGCTATCTGCAGAGGAACCAGATTAAAGTGATTTCTTTGCCTTGTTCAGCTGAGTTTGTTTATTTCTGCTGCAGAGCGTCTCAGGTTTATGATGTCATAAACCTGCAGCGCTTTAATCTGCTGCTGACGCCTCAGTCAGACTCATCAAACATCTGGATGGTCATCGAGGAGCAGGAGAGCCTGCAGCGGCAAACGTTTCCTCAGCGCAGGGATCGATGTTTCATGCCAGGAGTCGTCCTGCTGCGATGCTTCAGGCTGCGATGCTTCATGCTGCGATGCTTCATGCTGCGATGCTTCAGGCTGCGATGCTTCAGGCTGCGATGCTTCAGGCTGCGATGCTTCATGCTGCGATGCTTCATGCTGCGATGCTTCAGGCTGCGATGCTTCAGGCTGCGATGCTTCAGGCTGCGATGCTTCAGGCTGCGATGCTTCATGCTGCGATGCTTCAGGCTGCGATGCTTCAGGCTGCGATGCTTCAGGCTGCGATGCTTCAGGCTGCGATGCTTCAGGCTGCGATGCTTCAGGCTGCGATGCTTCATGCGATGCTTCATGCTGCGATGCTTCAGGCTGCGATGCTTCATGCTGCGATGCTTCAGGCTGCGATGCTTCATGCTGCGATGCTTCAGGCTGCGATGCTTCAGGCTGCGATGCTTCAGGCTGCGATGCTTCAGGCTGCGATGCTTCAGGCTGCGATGCTTCAGGCTGCGATGCTTCAGGCTGCGATGCTTCATGCTGCGATGCTTCATGCTGAAATGCTTCAGGCTGCGATGCTTCAGGCTGCGATGCTTCAGGCTGCGATGCTTCAGGCTGCGATGCTTCATGCTGCGATGCTTCATGCTGTGATGCTTCAGGCTGCGATGCTTCATGATGCGATGCTTCATGATGCGATGCTTCAGGCTGCGACCAGGACCGGGTTGGCGCCAGGACCGGGTCGGCGCCAGGACCGGGTCGGCGCCAGGACCGGGTCGGCGCCAGGACCGGGTTGGCGCCAGGACCGGGTCGGCGCCAGGACCGGGTCACTGCATTAATCTCACTGATTACGGTTCTGAATGATTCACCTTGCAGATGTTCCAGGTGGTTCTTCCTGCGGAGGTGAAGCCCGACAGCTCCACGGCCCGGCGCTCCCAGACCACCGGACACCTGGTTCTGACCATGCCCCGGGTCGGTACTGCTGGCTCTGGTTCTGGTTCTGGTTCTGTGCACTACGGGGCAAAATTAGGGCCATAAAATTTCCTCATAAGAAAAAAAGTTGCATCTGAAATAGTTTTGAACTTTTGGTTCAAAGTCAAATTTTAGTTTCAATCTTTTTGTTTTTCAGTTTCAATTTTGTTTCTTTTTTGATTTTCTCTTTAAATTCTGTCCAAATTCAACAAGATGCTAAAAACAAAACAAACAGTTTGGATAGAAAATGTTTTTTCTTTAAATCGCTTGATTCTGTTGTTGCTTGTCGTATCGATCAGCTTTTTATTGGTAAATCAGTAAATCAGCATCTCAGATTTGCTGTTCAAACGACGCCGAACCGGACCGGCTCTCTGACTTTTGACCTCTCCCTCAGGCCAACGGTGAACTCAGAGTGAAGAGGCCGGTTCCTCGCCAGCGCCGAGACGCTCCTGGTCGCAGCTCAGCAGAGGAACGGAGCAGGTAGGACCGAGACCCGGAACCCAAACCGGAGCACTGAACTCCAGGACGGTACTTTACCCAGAACCTCCGGCCTACAGAACCTGGAGGCCGGAGGAGGTCCAAAGTCATGACCCATGACTCATCAGTTCAGAACAGGAAGTAGTTCAGCATCGACCGTCTCTGTCTGGTTCTGATCTGAAGCTGATGATCTTGCAATCAGATTCCTCAAAACCCGACGGATCACCAGACACTGACCAGAACCGGCCCGTCCAATCAGAACTCAATTACATCCTCATTACCAAAGCTGCAGCGACGACACCTCCACCACTCTTCTTCTGGGGTTTACCGGGATGTTAAGGAGAACCTCAGTCACAACCTGCGGTTCTGACCCGAAAGCTGCAGAGTTCCTGGTTTCAGGAAGAGGCTTCAGCTTCATCCCGGTCCAGCAGGCCGTGGTTTTCCTGCAGCAGCGTTTCTGAGTCGGGCATTTTGTCCTCTGGAAGCCCAATTCCCCTCTTAATAAACCGGCAGGCAGCGAAAAGGTTCTGCTGCCGCTTGCTGCACACAGAACCCAACGAGAGCAAAGTCAGCAGCTTGTCCTGCTTCTCAGCCTGATCTCTGCTTCCTGCGGCTTTAGTTTACAGCTCCATGTGGAAAAAGAAAGAAACACAATTAAAACATGAAGCTCTGATATTTAAAGAGTGAAATGCATCCAAACTCAGTTTCAACCACATTTCTCTGTTTTCAGGAGAGATAAAGTTCCTGAGAGGCTGGAAGTTGATCCCAGTAAACGTAAATCTGTGGATATCGCCAACATCGTGTCTCAGCGGAGCAACACAGACGACCTCCAGGACAAACCGGCAGCAGAACCCCCTGAAGAGTTCATGGACGACCCAGAGGTTCCTCCACTCATTTAAATGTTTAAAACAAATGATGCAAAGGCAAATCTGGGCTAAATCATTTTAATTGTTTTACAGCAAAACAAACGTTTGTAACAAAACCTCAGAAAAACTTTGATTTCAGTAAAAAGATTTTATTCTGGGCAGTTTTTGTTGTTTTATTCTTTTTTAAAATAGTTTTTCTTCATCTTAAAGAACAGAATCCAAATATATGTTTAAATATTAAGACCAAACAGGATTTATCACCTCGACAGACAAAAACAGAAAAATATAACTTCAATCTGCTGTAATTTGTGAAACACATGGAACTGTTACAGTTTAGCAGTTTCATTCATTTGTGACAGATTCTTTAACTGGGGTTTTGATATTGTAGAGGATTTCAGTGTTATTGATCTCTGATTAGTGTTATTGATCTCTGATTGAGAATCAATCTGATGAGGAAGCTGCCAGCCTGTTTCTGCAGCTTTTCAGTGTGTCGCCGCATCATTCATTTCTCGCACAGATCAAGTGTTAAATGAGTTCTCCTCCCTCAGAGGAACAAGGTGTGCGAACTGAACGCTGACGTTCCTGTTCTGCTCTCATGATTGCTGAGCTTTTCTCTGTCAGCGGCTCGTCAGCCTCCTTGTTAGCTTCTTTTCTTTTGGGTTTTATTAGCGGCTAGCAAACAACTTGAAGTGCCCAGCTGTTAGCTTTACTTTGAATAGAGAAGCTGTTAGCTCTGTAGCATGTTAGCTGAGACTGTTTACTGTGTGATTGTTGTCTCACTGTTCAATGTTTCTTTGACTATCAACTCTTCATGCAACTGTTTGCATAATGTTAGCATTAGCTTGACTATTTGTGAAATTTTTAGCTCAGCTTTAATTCTGTTAGCTTGCTAATTAGTTAGCGAGCTTCACTGTTTCAGTGTTTAGAGAGCTGTTAGCTTATGTGTAGCTTATCTTAGCAAGACTGTTTCTTAAAATGATTGAGTTAGCTTCATGCTTATGGCCAGTCGTCTGAGTGCTACCCTGACTGTTAGGTCAAAGGTCAATCTAGAGAATGAATGAAGTTGTCTTTAGTTCAGTCACTAATGAGGCTGAATGTTTTCATATAACTAAAGTCCAGTTATCTTCCTGTAAAGCTCTTTCCATGCTCTGAGTGACTGGACTCATCAGTGGTTAGCATTAGCTTAATAAGTAGGGAAGCAGTTAGATTAATTAATAACTTAATTGTTGATTTTGCTGTTAGCGCAGCAATTAGTTGAGTGGTGATTATGTGTTGTTAGCAGTTAGCGTAGCCTCTCAGACCTGACCTTTGTTGATGGCTGTTTAATTGCTGCTGGTCGACTAAAGTTAGTTTGTTTCTTTTTAAGTGAAACATATTCCTCTCATTAATTTATCGTCTACTAAAATCCTGACTTGTTCTCTTTTTGTGCTGCTTTTAAGCTGCAGCTGAAGGAAGATCGATGAGCTGTGGCTGTTTTTTGTTTGGTTTGTGGCTTCAGGCAAAACGTTGTGTTGTGATTCGGATCCTCTGCCAGACTTTGATCAGAAGCTGCTCTCTGCCAGAGGACATAAACTTATTCTTCATCTGGCTCTTCTCTCCTTGAATCTCGGCTGAACTCTCCTGAGTTTTCACTTTCCTCTTGAGTTGTCACCTTAAAAAGCTCCGAGGTCGCCCTCCTCTTCCTCGCCCTCCTCTCCTCGCCCTCCTCTTCCTCCTCTGCACGCCTGCAGGAATCGTTCTGCCTTCTGACGGATTCACTCTTTATTATCCAGGCTATATTTGGGACTGAGCTGTTTGCGTCGTACAGCAGGATGTTTGTCTTTACTGCAACCTGCAAGTGCATCAAAACTCATGGAAGGAGCCTGGAGCCTGAATGGTCGTTCATTTCTCCAGTTTCACTGGGAAACATCTTTATTGTAACCCAGAAATGAGTCCATAACTGATAACCCATCAGGTCTTTGCTGGCTGCAGGTTTCTGATTTATTGGTAATAAATCCCCGGGTCTGAGCCGGCTGGGCAGTAACTCAGTGGGCACTTCCACTTCCACAGCTTTTCAAAATGAAGTTTATTATAGGCAAAGAAAAAGTGTTGCTCATCACTTTTATCAGAACTGAGTGGAAATAAACTCGGAAATAAAATCTGCTTCATGAAAATAAAGTTTACCGCTCATGGAAACATCAGCTGTCGGTTCCTGAAATTCAGATAAACAAAGACAGTTTTGACTTTGAATAGGCCATTTATTTTTACATTCTATTGCCAGATATACGATTATGATCTAATTGGTTAAAATATAAACATTTTTCTAGATTATCCTGAGATCATCAGGGCATAAAACTTGTTTTTCAGTTGAATGTCCGAATATAGTCATATTTTATACATCACATCTAAAATAAAAATAAGTCAACATAAAATGAGTCCATTGCCTCAAAAATGTAAAATCTTTCAAACTAACTCCTATTGCACTGATTAAAATTTTAAATAATTTATGGATGTTAAGGATTTGATGTTGGTGTTAAATTAGATAACTTTATGTTTCCAAGGTGAGTTGGATGGATGAATATAAAATTATATAATCTGTAGAGAATTGTTTAAAAAATGAACAAGAATCAAACCCTGGAAAATTACAATCAGATTAAAGACTTTTCCTTCAGCTGTAGACGGATCGTCTCTCTAACGACTGCACCAAATGAGAACAGAGCAGCGGAGGACCGAGTGTGGCGCCCTGAGGAACTCCGTCAGTAACACTTCATCTGATCTCAGAACAGAAGCAGAAAATTCTGCTGATCTGTTCGCAGCACTGAGAAAATGTTTTAAAAACAAATCAGTCTGAATAATTTTACTGTAATCTGTTTCTAGAGATGTAAATACATTTTGGGTTTTGCTTCATTTCAGTCATTTAAATCTGTATTTCTGCTGTATATGGTCTATTTTTTCCCTGATATCCACCTTTAAAGCAGATTTAATCTAATCTTGTGTTTCTTCTGATGTGAATCAGCATCATTGTTGCGTCTGTTTTAAAAATATTTGAAATGTTTAAAATCTGTAAATTCTTCATTAAAATTGTCTGGAAGCAGCTTAGAAACCATCATCAGGGCTATTTAACAGCCGATTTAACAGCTGATTTAACTGGTATTTACTGTCGCACTGGGACCATTATGTCAGGGTTAATGGCTCAGAGTGCTTTGCTCATCCTGACTGACTGTTTTTTGTGGTCAGACTGGTTTGAATGGTTTGAATGGTTGATTTTCTTCCCGTCCTCATATGATGGTTTTTCTCAGTGACCCAGTTCTTCGGCGCTGCTGGGTGTTTTTTTGCTTCAGTCTGACGCCGGGCTAACGTCTTCCAGCTTCTTTTCCACATGAAAACCCTCCAGCTGAATGTATAATTCAGGCTGAATGTCTGGTTGTTTCTACAATCATCCAGCAGGTTGGAAAGGCCCAACAGACACGTTAATATGGACTCAAAGTTATTGATTATGGAGCCGTGAACAGATGATGGCTCCTGAAGATGTGATCCAAGTCTTTGATTACTGCTGCGCTCACAGTGAGGTGACGCTTCCAGATCTGTAAGTATTCCTCAGTCCTAATCTTTGTCCAGCTTCCTGTTTTATTTTCTGCTGTTTTCTTCCCTGCGTCTCTGTGAGATGAATAATTTAACCTGCCTTCAGCTCCTCACAGGAACCCGCTCTGTCTCCATCTTTGTGTCCCGAGCTGCAGCCAAGGACAGATGCAGGGTTTCCTCTGCAGCAGCAACCAATCACAGGAGGAATCAGACTCCTGCCTTCGTTTTTATGCTGCCGCAGCAAAACGTCAGTAAGCCTACAGTAAGCCCTGCTGTTGCTTTTACAGCTAGCTGTAGCAGTTAGCTTAGCATTCTGAAATTCAAAGTTTCAAGTGAAACACAAAGCACATTAGCATCCTAGCGTTCTGATTAGCATGCTAATGTTTTCATGCAAAGAGTAGCATTCAGATGCTATGGCTAACATTTTGATGCTAATGGCTCCATCAGCATACTAAGGATTCAGTAATGTCTATCACAAATATTTTTATGCTAATGTTTTAAGGCTAGTACAGAAATTAACACACATAACAGTTGGTTAATATTAATGGTCTGAAATTATGCAAAAACAGACGTTAGCATGCTAACATTTCATGCTAACAGTATCAGCCTGTTTCCATGCTAACCAACAATTAGCACACTGACATTAGCATTGTTTCCCAGCTGTTTGCTAATACAAACAATAGCACACTAATAGTAGCATATTAACATACCTAATATTAATATTTCTGGTTATGTTAGCACACTGGATGGACTCCTGACTCAACTGTTCACATCTTCTAGTTCAAAATCCAAAACAGGAAGTTCTCCAGTGAAGTGGGTCAAATTGTTCTGATAGCAGCGGTTATGAAAACTGAATTCATGCTGAGTAAATCCCCTCAGATTGAAGTTTAAGATGGAAGTATTTGTGCATCCTGCCAGCCTTTATTTCAGATCTGAAACGTTGAAACACCTGCAGGTTTCATTGGTTTTCTGCTGCGTCCATCAATAACAACTGAACAAAAGCTACAGCAGCATGTTTGCTCACTTCCAGCTGCATTTATTGTTACAAACACTGAGAGCAGAAACTGTCTGTGAAGAGAAAGATGGCAATGTTGAAACTGGGAGAAAATGGAAAATCAATGTTGACCAATCCATAAACATTAGGACCGTCAGGAAAACGGAAAAACTGAGCAGCTGGTTGGAGAAAACGCTGTGAGCCGGACGCATCACCTTCTGTCTGTTTCACTTTATTTATGAGGAAATTATCCAATTTCCTTCCTGCTTCAGATGGTTTCTGGGCTTTTTTGGTGCAGTCTGAGCTCTGATAGAACATGAAAAAAATGAGATCAATAACAGTGAAAGTCTGAAATATTTGATCTGAAAGTCAAACTGATCCTCCTTCAGATCGAAGCCATGAATCTCCTGGAACCTTCTGGGTTCTGGTCCCAGGATCAGGTGTGTGTGAACCTGGCGCCGCGCTGAGGTCCCGTCGTGTTTTACGCCCCTCGGTGTCACATTGATGTTTGTTTTGCTGTTTCTGCTGAATCGTCAGATCTGTCAGTCCTGCAGAAGACGACATGCACTCAGTTTGATTCATTTTTACGTCGATGTTGGGCTCC